TACCTGCTTGCAATTCTGCCTCATATCCTACCTCCAAGTTTTATTATTTTGAGCTAAGCCATAGATTCATTCATTACAGTTGCCTTTTGAATGTGTAATAGCAAATGATGCAGTCATTAAAGTTAGTATCTTTTGTTTGTTCACTTTTCAATACAATAGGTTAAAAAAGCCTTTCATGGGTGACACAGTATAAGTGAGAATAAATGAAAATTAAGATGACAGCATTTGGTTTGGGGTGCATAAAATATGTTGGAGGGGAGAATGAGGATGACTAGAAAATGAAAAATGGCGTAGGCAATTCTTACCCTGTAATTTTGCTTAGGACTAGCTGTGTTTCCCAGGGTTTGCAGAACATCTTGAAATACAACCAGGATGTGGGTATTTCCTGAAGAACCTGAAAGCTGGCTGTTGGGCATGTCCTTGGCTGTATGATATAGTTCTCTAATCAGGAAAATCCTGAGTTTTCAGAAGCCATGACAGACTAGGAACAACTTGATCTTTTTGTCCTTTTACCATGCATGTAGTGTAAAAAAGCTGTAATATATTTTTTTCTGAAGCAGATTTTTTAAAGTTACATGTGTTCTTTATCATTGAAGATATTTTAGATTATCATGTATGCCACAAAGCTTAACTATGTGACCACAAATGTATTCAAATGAATTGGACAATAAAAGGATAATGAAATAAACGAAGCTCTTCAACCTGAAAAAATGGAATAGCTTAATAGGCTTAATAAAGTGAAATGGTAGATAGTTCATTATAAAGGTGAAAACTGACAGTTGTTGTAATAGAAACAAATGGATTTAAAGTATAGGAACTTTGAAATCTAAAGAAAATCTTTTGAAATCTAAAAAAAAAATTCACTAATGGTGGGTGAGATTCTATGAAGTATGATTTAAAGAGATGATACTGAATAAATCCACTCTGGAAAGATCATTCATTAGCTTTTATTTATTAATTTATTAATTATTTTTGAGAGAAGGTCTTACTATTTTTCCCAGGCTGGTCTCCAACTCCTGATCCTCAAGTTATCCTTCTGCCTCTTACAGTGCTAGAATTACGGTGTGAGCCACCATACTTGGTCTAACTTTTATTTTTAAAGATCATCAAACTTCTGAACTGCAAAGGTAGTATGTAATTTCTCCAGAGCTTCAAGCTAAATTCAAAACATAGAGTTACTAACAGAGCTCCAAATACCCTTAGATAATCTCTGGCTCTATAGAGCTCTAGAAATTTTATGCTAAGACAGTCCCTGTCATTCTTATTTTGTTCTGAATTTAAAATGGTTTCTGATACCTATAATGGTGTTTAAATCTCAATTTGTTATTGTTGAGAGGTTGAATTTTTATTCCCTCTGGAAAAGACTCCATCATCCAGCCTGCTTCTAACCACAACCCCCTCCATATACACATACCCCTTTCCCCAATCAAATTTGAATTCAAAAGAAATTTTTTCTCAGAATCTTCAATTCAAAATGGTTTTCTTAATATTTAATTCTTGTTTCATACCTCTTCCTTAGTTCCTCTTTCTGTTGAGGGGAACAGTTGTTCTAGTTTACTTTTGAATGACAAATTCAATAAAACATGCATTCTTCACAGCTATAGTAATTTAAATTTCTAAATTAAATTATATCTGAAGGTAATTATACAGCAATAGGTTGGAAGAAATAGGAAAACCGAAATGGTTTGGGCATCCAAAAAATTTGCCTTGAAGCTATCAGTACACCTGACTGAATCCATACTCATTATGGGAGTAATGGTGGGTATCCGAGTGTTCAGACAACTTACTCTTTTAGCTCTGCTTTTAAGCAAAGGTGACTATTAAGCCTAAAAACTTTTGATGTGAAGATATCGGTGGATAGGAGACAAGGTTAATGTGTAGATTCCACCTTAACAGACAGAACAGCATTTGGAGACTCACAACGTGGACTTTTGCTCCAAGAACCACTGCAGGAACAGACCAGGAAAACCAAAAGAATTCAGAGACCCTTTCAAGGAAACAACTTGCCATTGCAAACTCTGTGAGAAGGTCAAAAAACTGAGTTTCTAAAGTGTGAGGGGGGGAAATATCTGCTTCCTAACACATATCCCTACTGGGGAACCTGAGAATCCAGATCACGGGAGAAGGATTTAACCTTACCTAGGGCCAAAAGTCATTCAAGAGGTCAAGCAAAATATAAAACTAGAAGCAGCAGCAGAAAGAGTCCTGTAGGCACTCCTGATCCCCACCTCAAGCCCAGGGAAGCATCTCTGGCTTAATCTCACAGAGGTCCTTGGAGAAGGCAGCCAGGAGAATTTGGGTTGGATCTCAGGGTAAAGGAAACTTCTAGCTGAACTGTATAATAGTTTTGACTGAGCATGATTTTTTCCGGAGCAGAATTTGGGCAAAGGTGGGTAAGGGGAGGCAGTGGTAAACAGAAGTGCATATACAAGCACAGAAGCCACAGTGGACAGTGTGGGCAGACAGAAAGGAGCAAGGCCTGAGAGCCCTGCTTGCTTTCTCTAGATTTATCAAGTCTGGAGCAAAATCTCAGACCTGCATGCTGGCTGTCTGGATGTAAACCCTGTGCTGTTGATGGGTCATGGCATGAGTGAGGCTGGACTTGCTGGCTGGGTGGGAGCTGAGTGAGGCTTGTCACTGTCAGCTTTCCCTCACTTCCCTGGAGACCTGTATAATGCAGCAGAGGCAGCCATAATCTTCCTAGGAGCATAAGCACATTGGCCTGAGAATTATCCCCTCTTTCCCCCACAATGGCTGTAGCAAGCCTTGCCCAAGGAGAGTCTGAGTTCAGACCTGTTAACCCTGACCCACCTGATGGCATTTCTCTATTGGTCCAGGTAGCCAAAGAAAAAACATAAATTCTTGGGAGCTCTATGGCTCTACCCATCACCTGAGAAACCCCAACATTTATTCTGGCCATCACAGGGCAAGCCTATATCTCCTGAAACAATCACAGCTAGTGTTCTCTTGTAAGAGCCACCTCCTGGCTGTAGGTCAACCAATTCAAGCCATCACAGCAACTCATAACAGAACACCCCTACTCCAAAGAAGAAAAAGCAACAGTTAATTCCACTGCCTGCAACAGATTCAGAGGTCCTGAATCTGTCCATTTGACTACTTTATTATTAGCATACCGAGCATTTGGAAAAACCAGTGCACAAAACAAACCTACACCAAGGACTCCCACAGAGCTGACTTCACTATCCTGTCACCTCCATGGAACAGGTGCTGGTATCCACAGATGGAAAACCTGAAGATGGATCATGTGACAGGACTCCTTGCAGACTTTTTCCAGCACCAGCCTATAACCTGGTATCCCTGCTGGGTGGCTAGACCCAGAAGGGCAATAACAATCAGTGTAGTCTGGCCCTCAGAAGGCCCCACCCCTAGTGGAAGGGGGAGAGCACCAAATCAAGGAATCCCCTTGTGAGACAAAGGAATCTGAGCAGTAGCCCTTGAGTTGCAGATCTTTCCACTGAAACAGTCTATCCAAATGAGAAGGAACCAGAAAAGTAATTCTGGTAACACAACAAAACAAGATTCTATAACAACCACAAAAGATCACCCTAGCTTGCCAGCAATAGATCCAATCAATTAAGAAATCTTTGAATTGTCAAATAAAGAATTCAGAAGATTGATTATTAAGCTACTCAAAGAGGTAATAGAGAAAGGTGAAATTAAATAAATTTTTAAAAACCAACTTAAAGAAATTTTAAAAAACAATACAGGATGTGAATGAAAAAGTATCCAGAAAAATAGTTATCTTAAGAAAAGACAATCTTAACTTCTGGAAATTAAAGAACAGTTAGAGAAATGCAAAACACACTGGAGAGTTTTAGTAAAAGACTCAAACAAGTAAAAGAACTTCAGAATTTGAAAACAATACTTTTAAATTAACTCAATCTGACAAAAAAAATTTAATTAACAAAGCCTCCAAAAAATTTGAGATTATGCTAAATGACCAAACATAAGAATAATTGGTGTTAATGAGGAAAAAGAGAAATATAAGCATTTGGAAAACTTATTAAAGGAAATAATCAAGGGAAACTTCCCTGTTCTTGCTAAAGATTCAGACATCTAAATACAAAAAGCTCAAAAAAGAATTGGCACCAATCCTATTAAAACTATTTCAAAAGATAGAGAAAGAGGGAATCCTCCCTAAATCATTCTATGAAGCCACTATCATCTGAATACCAAAACCAGGAATGGAAATCACAAAAAATGAAAATTACAGATCAATATCCCTAATGAATATATATGCAAAATTTCTCAACAAAATACTAGCTAACTGAATCCAATAGTATATCAATAATAATAATAACAATACACCAAGATCAAGCAGGCTTGGTTTAATGTATGCAGGTCAATATATGTGATACACTACAAAAACATAATTTTTTAAAAATAATATAATCATATCAGTAGACAAAAAAAGACATTTGTCAAAATTAAGCATTCTTTTATGATTAAAATCCTCAGTAAAATTAGCATAGAAAGAACATACCTTAATGTAATAAAAGCCCTTTCTGACAAACCCACACTTAATACTATAAAACAGAAAAAAGTTGAAAGCATTTTCCCTGAGAATTGAAACAATACAAAGATGCCCACTTTCACCACTTTTATTCAACATAGTACTGAAAGTTCTTGCCAGAGAAATCAGACAAGAGATAGACATAAAGGGCATCCAGATCAGTAAAAAGGAAGTAAAACTGTCACTGTTTATTGATGATATAGTCATATAAATAGAAAAACCTAAAAGTTCACTCAAAAAGCTTCTAAATATGACAAATAAATTCAGAATTTCAGGATACAAAATCAATCTACACAAATCAATAGCACTACTATACACGAACAGTAACTAAGCCGAGAATCAAATAAAAAACTCCTTTTGCAACAGCTGCAAAAAAATGAAATACCTAGAAATATACTCAACCAAGGAGGTGAAAGATCTCTATGAGAAAAACTACAAAACACTGCTGAAAGAAATCGTAGACAATGTGCCTGCCTCAGCAGCACATACACTAAAATTGGAACAATACAGAGAAGACTAGCTTGGCCCCTGCACAAGGATGACATGCAAATTTGTGAAGCATTACATATTTTTAGTGGACCTCCAGCAAACCATAGCAGACCTGCAGAAGAGGGGTCTGACTGTTAAAAGGAAAACTAACAAACAGAAAGCAACATCAACATAAAGCACCACTACACAAAAACCCCATCCAAAGATTATCAGCCTCAAAGATCAAGGGTAGATAAATCCACAAAGATAAGGAAAAACCAGTGCAAACATGCTGAAAATTCCAAAAACCAGAATGTCTCTTCTCCTCCAAATGATCATAACTTCTCCCTATCAAGGGCACAAAACTGGATAAAGAATAAAATTGATGAACTGACAGAAGTAGGCTTCAGAAGAAAAGTAATAACAAACTCTTTTCAGCTAAAGGAGCATCTTGTAACCCAATGCAAAGAAGCTAAAAACCTTGATAAAATGTTACAGAAACTGCTAACTAGAATGACCAGTTTAGAAAGGAATATAAATGGCCTGACGGAGCTGAAAAACACAGCATGAGAACTTTGTGAAGCATACACAAGTATTAATAGCTGAATTGATCAAGTGGAAGAAAGGATATCAGAGATTGAAGATCAACTTACAGAAATAAGGTGTGAAGACAAGATTAGAGATCAAAGACTAAAAAGGAAGAAACAAAGCCTCCAAGAAATGTGGGACTATGTGAAAACACCAAAGCTACAATTGATTGGTGTATTTGAAAGTGACAGGGAGAATGGAACCCAGTTGGAAAACAAATTTCACAATATTACCAGGAGAACTTTCCCTATCTAGAAAGACAGGCAAACATTCAAATTCAGGAAATACAGAGAACACCACTAAGATACTCCTCAACAGAAAAACCCCCAATACACATAATCATCAGATTCTCCAAGGTTGAAACACAGGAAAAAATGTTAAGGGCAGTCAGAGAGAAATGGAAGGAAACCTACAAAAGGAAGCACTGCAGGCTAACAGCAGATCTCTATGAAGGAACCCTACAAGCCAGAAAAGAGTGGGGGCCAATATTCAACATCCCTAAAAAAAAAAAAAGAATTTTCAAACAGAAAAACAAAATTCGTATCCAGCATTTTAAGCTTCATAAGCAAAGAAGAAATAAATTCCTTTCCAGACAAGGAAATGCTGAGAGATTTTGTCACCACTATGCCTGTCTTACAAGAGCTCCTGAAGGAAGCACTAAATATGGAAAGGAAAAACTGACACCAGTCCTGCAAAAACACACGAAAATATAAAGACCAATGACAGTATGAAGAACTGCGTTGACTAATTTGCAAAATAACCAGCTAGCATCATGATGATGGGATCAAATTCTCATATAGCAATATTAACCTTAAATATAAATGGATTAAATGCACCAATTCTAAGACACAGATTGGCAAATTGGATAGAGTCAAGACTTATTGGTGTGCTGTAATCAGGAGACACATTTCACATTCAAAGACACACACAGGCTCAAAATAAAGGAATGGAGGAATACTTACCAAGCAAATGGAAAGAAAGAAAAAAAAAATAGGGTTACAATCCTAGTCTCTGATAAAATAGGCTTTAAACTAACAAAGATCAAAAGAGACAAAGAAGGGCATTACATAATAGTAAAGAAATCAATGCAACAAGAGCTAACTATCCTAAATATACATGCACCCAATAAAGGAGCACCCAGATTCATAAAACAAGTTCTTAGAGACAAAGAGATTTAGACTCCCACACAATAATACTGGGAAACTTTTAAAACCCCACTGTCAATATTAGACAGAACAATAAAACAGAAAATTAACAATGAGACAAAATATACATTCTTCTCAGCACCACATAGCATGTATTCTAAAATTGAACACATAATTGGAAGTAAAACACTTTTCAGCAAATGCAAAAGAATGGAAATCATAACAAACAGTTTCTCAGACAATCAAATTAGGACTCAGGATTAAGAAACTCATTCAAAACCACATAATTCTGTGAAAATTGAACAACCTGCTCCTGAATGACTACTGGGTAAATAACAAAATTAAGGCAGAGATAAATAAGTTCTTTGAAACCAATGGGAACAAAGACATAACCTACCAGACTCTCTGGGACACAGATAAAGCAGTGTTAAGAGGGAAATTTATAGCACTAAATTTCCAAATCAGAGTGTGGGAAAGATCTGAAATCAATAGCCTAAAGTCACAATTAAAAGAATCAGAGAAGCAAGAACAAACATATTCAAAAGCTAGCAGATGACAAGAAATAACTAAGATCAGAGCAGAACTGAAGGAGATAGAGACACAAAAACTCTTCAAGAAATCAATAAATCCAGGAGCTGATTTTTTGAAAAGATTAACAAAATAGTTGGACTACTAGCTAGACTAATAAAGAAGAAAAGAGAGAAGAATAAAACAGACACACAAAAAATGATATAGGGAATTTCACTATTGATCTCACAGAAATACAAACTACCACCAGAGAATACTATAAACACCTCTATGCAAATAAACTAGAAAATCTAGGAGAAATGAATAAATTCCTGGACACATACATCCTCCCAAGACTAAACCAGGAAGAAGGTAAATCCCTGAATAGACTAATAACAAATTCTAAAATTGAGGCAGTGATTAATAGCCTACCAACCAAAAAGGCCAAGGAACAGACAGATTCACAGCCAAATTCTACCAGAGGTACAAAGAGGAGATGGTACCACTGCTTCTGAAACTATTCCAAACAGTAGAAAAAGAGAGGCTCATCCATAACTCATTTTATGAGGCCAGCATCATCCTGATACCAAAATGTGGCAGAGACACAACAGCAACAACAACAAACTTCAGGCCAATATCCCTGATGAACATCGATGTGAAAATCCTCAATAAAATATTGGTAAGCTGAATCCCGCAGCACAGCAAAAAGCTTATCCACTATGATCAAGTCAACTTCATTCCTGTGATGCAAGGCTGATTCAATATATGCAAATCAATAAATGTAATCCATTGCATAAACAGAACCAATGACAAAAAACTATACGATTATCTCAATAGATGCAGAAAAGGCCTTCAAAAAAATTCAACATCCTTTAGGCTAAAAACTCTCAATAAACTAGGTATTGAGGGAACATATTTCAAAATAATAAGAGCTATTATGACAAATCCATTGCTAATATATTACTGAATAGGCAAAAGATGGAAACATTCCCTTTGATAACTGGCACAAAACAAGGATGCCCTCTTTTACCACTCCTATTCAACATAGCATTGGAAGCTCTGGCCAGGTCAATCAGGCAGAAGAAAGAAATGAATTTCATTCAGTTAGGAAAAGAAGAAGTCAAATTGTCTCTGCTTGAAGATGACATGATTGTATATTTAGAAAACCCCATTGTCTCAGCCCCAAAACTCCTTAAGCTGAGAAGCAACTTCATCAAAGTCTCAGGATACAAAATCAATGTGCAGAAATCACAAGCATTGCTATACATCAACAATACACAAGCAGAGAGCAAAATCACAAAGGATTTCCCATTCACGATTGCTACAAAGAGAATAAAATACCTAGGAATACAACTTACAAGGGATGTGAAGGACCTCTTTAAGGACAACTACAAACCACTGCTCAAGGAAATAAAAGAGAATAGAAACAAATGGAAAAAAAAATTCATGCTCATGGATAGGAAGAATTAATATTGTTAAAATGGCAATAATGCCCAAAGTAATTTATAGATTCAATGCTATTTCCATCGAGCTACCATTGACTTTCTTCACAGAATCAGAAAACAACTACTTTAAATTTCATATGGAAACAAAAAAGGGCCTATATAACCAAGACAATTCTAAGCAACAAGAACAAAGCTGGAAGTATCGTGCTACTTGATTTCAAACTATACTACAAGGCTACAGTAACCAAAACAGCATGGTACTGGTATAAAAACAGATATATAGAACAATGGAACAGAACAGAGATCTCAGAAATAACACCACACATCTACAACCATCTGATCTTTGACAAACCTAACAAAAACAAACAATGAGGAAAGAATTCCCTATTTAATAAATGGTGCTGGGAAAACTGACTAACGACATGTAGAAAACTGAAACTGGACCCCTTCTTTACACCCTATGCAAAAATTAACTCAAAAGAAATTAAAGATTTAAATGTGAAACCCAAAACCACAAAAGCCCTAGAAGAAAACCTAGGCAATACCATTCAGGACATAGGCATGAGCAGAGACTTCATGACTAAAACAACAAAAGCAAAAGCAATAAAAGCAATGGCAACAGAAGCCAAAATTGACAAATGGAATCTAATTAAACTAAAGAGCTTCTGCACGGGAAAGAAAATATTTGCAATGAATATTCAGATTATGTTAATCTCTAAGCTTCAATGTAATTACAATGACTCAATAAAGCTGTTTTCTGTACAGTGAAAGAGCTGCTTCCTGTGGACATGGCAAAAGATTGATATAAGAATTCAAGCAGTATTAGTTAATGAGGAATTACTTTTGCAATTGTTGTTATGTAACACACATACACACATAAAGACCAGCATACTTAGTCTCTAGAGCGAATTTACATTATCTAGCACAATGCTTGCATTCAAATTATCTAAAACCATCATCAGATATCAGTGTCTGATGAGTCATTCTTTATATGAATATTAAGATAATCACATCAATACTGAATTATACAATACTGTCAGGGTAATAGACTTTAAATAATATGCTAAACTTGTATGACATCAGAATGTCATTATTATTTGGATAAATTTGAGACACTACAATTAAGAACAAATGTTATCCAAGAGGTGAATTCTAGCTGTGCAGTGCTGGAAAACAACAGATGGACAAACCATAAAAAAAATAGTATTTATTTAAGATGTCAGACAACTTATAAAAAACAATGTAAATGTGTTCCTAGCTCCAACCAATAAACATTATTGATTCAACTCTAAAAACATTTCTTATGTATCCTGGTTTGGAAAACATTGCTGTTCATATACTATACCCTTCAACCATGCTTATGCAGTGTGTTCATATGTATTATCTAGCATGATTTTGGCTAGGAGCAACTAAAACCAAA